TCTCCATATCCTTCCATAGTTTGAATCAGTGTTGATCAGTACACATGCAGGGATTTAAACTCCAGCCCTGAATTCCTTTGATTCAGTCAAAGTCAACAATACTATACACCTTGTAGTTATGTATACAGGAAATACTGATTAATAATAAGTGAATGTTATACATAGCAACACTGCTAACCATTTAATATTGTGGTTATGGTTAATTACCTTTTAATGTACATTATACTTTTATGTACTTTATTAGATGATGATCCTGCTAGTCAGATACTCCAGCATTACAGTGATAGAATATCACAAGTATCTCTCATTGATAGTTGTATCCAGTTGTTATATACAGAAGGATTAATCACTGAGGATACACAAAGGAAGATTGAGAGATGTGGTGGCTCATTAAGTGATACATTAAGAGAATTAATGATTGCAGTATCTGATGATCACAGTAAGCTGAGGTCACTAGGAAATATATTAATGGAATTAGAAGAAACTAAACCTTTAGCTCAAGATATTATTAAAGATTGTGGTAAGAGTGGCAGTATATGAACTAGTAATAACTGTGATATTATTAATATGCATGTTTTGTAATTAGATGAAATTATTAATAAGCCACTGATTACAGCTGTAGTTAAACCAGTTACTAGTACAGTCAGTCATGATCAGTCTACAGTATCAGGTATTATTAGTAAGTATCAATTTGTTTTATTTTATATTTCTACAAAGCTGGTGAGCTCTTCTTTAATGCAGCACATAAACCAGTTTTTAATGAGATCAGAGGAAGTTTTGGTATCCTTCGGGATGAGCTGGTTCCATTAATTACTCAATCAATTCCATCAGTTGCAAAAATGAAGTCATTCCTTCAACTGTCCTTCCCTGAAATGAGCCGTGACCTGTCTAACGCTGATAGTATTGATGACATTATGAATGTTGTAGTGAAGAATTGCCGAGTGAATGACATTTCAATAATTAAAACAATTGTGAAACGATTTAAAGTCACTGAAGCAAAACCACTGATATCAGAATATGAAGATGAAGTGAAGACAGTTTGTGGATCATTGAAGGATTTCCTCAGTCAGAATCAACCCAAGCATTTTCTCATTTGTGAAACAATTCAGTTTACTTTGGGATGGGAACCAGATGAGCACTCACTTGATGACATACGTAATCTCTTAGAGGAAGCATTTAAAGAATTAAACAAGAGAATTATCGTACGAAGCATTCATCGTGGGAACT